CCATATAACGAACAATGAAATCATGTTCTATACATATTGTGAGCTATGGTCTCATGTTTAAGTGGTAAATGCACATCCAGAACTAACACACCTACATGTTTCCTTAACTGGAAGAAGTGAGAGCACCATTAAAACCATTTTTGAAAAATGTCAGAATTTAAAGTCCTTAAAAATGCTTGGAAATAAGATACGAAGATTAGAAGAAATACTGCTAAATTCAACCTTGCCTTTGCTTGAGGAATTGGTTCTTGATAACTTTTACGTTGAAACATGTGATTTTAAAAAAATACAGATTGTGAGTAATGTTCTCATGTTCAAGAACGATGAGCTCATTGAACTCTGCATCCATACCATTAATGATGAACTTATGTTCGGAATACTAATGTTATCGGAAGAGCAAATTCATTGAAAAGTTACATACCCAGTAGTGATTTCCTGTGCTAAAGAAGTGTATTATTGGATACTGTTTCTACTCGTCACCAAGTCACGTGGGATTTCACGCGAGATATGCAAGCCTTCTCTCAGATCAGTTGCGCGTTTATTTCCAGATCGAGCAGAAGTGATATTTTATTGGAAGAAATTATTATTTAATTTTGGATATCTGAATAATGTCAGTATTACAAAAACTTTCTGATGAGTTTGGATTTAGTGATTTGAACGCATCTGGTGACGTTCAGTTTATGAAGAGACTGATGTATATGTTCTTGGACCACATAACAACTCTGAAAATTCTCCTACTGAAAAACAGCCAAGCTGTTTAGGAGAGTCTTCGTCCTCTCCTGCAATAAAGCAGCCATGTGCTAAAGAAGTGTATTACTGGATCATGATTATTATTGACTGTGACATTGCATAGCTATCGGGGAGTTCATCATATGAATTTGAATTGTATAATTTAAGACTTGCACTGTAAGAGTTCTGAACAAAAAAAAGTTGAATGGACGTTGTACTTGAAGATAAGCTTTTGCCACGGAGCCAGTGTATGGCACCGTGTCGGATTTATATTAATACATAGTGAACGAGTAACATAAAACATGGTGGAAAATCTAAATGATGAAGATAACAAATTGTTTATGCTTCATTGATTTATTCTGGATATCCACGTGTCAAGCCACCAAACATACTGTTGATGTTTTACCACCGTTTTGATGTTTTACCATGTGGCGCATTGGTTAGAGCATCTGCTCTAGAGTCGCGGAGTAAGGAATTGATCCTTACGTCACGGGTTTAAATCCGCTGCGGAATGTTGAGACCAGTCCTTTCGTATGAGACTGTATAAACCGAGGTCCTGTGTCGCAGTAGGTGTTGGCACCAAAAAGATCCCTCACTGCTCAATGGCCCTGAGTGCTGAGCGTAGGTTAAAATTTGCAACCCTCCACCGGCAAGTGGTGGCACCTCCATATGAGTAAAAAATTCTTAAGAGGGACGTTAAACAACATACAAACAAACAAACAAACAAAACCATCGCCTTGATTTTTCTTCCTAAAGTGTATATGCATATTATCATTATCATGTGATAACTAAAAGCATATTTGCAGACCTACAGTATTGTGGAAACATGAACATATTCTGAGATGATACAAATCGTCCTGAAATTCGCTGTGTTCTTCTGTCAGTTGACAAACTAATGTGTCACACCCATGCATTTATTGTTAAGTGAGGAACTGTTAAGGTGACATATGACTTATTTGAAACGTGCAGTCTACCCCATACATCGAACTTTTAGGGACCCTTATTTTTAATACATGTACTCTGATGTTAAAATATCTCTAGAGGATTTGCCAATGAAAATGGTGGAGAATTTTAAGCTCATCTGAGCTGAAGGCTTAAGTGAGCAATTGCGATCCAATTTTGTCTATTGTTTGTTGTCGGCTTTGTCGTAAACTTTTCAAATTTTTATCTTCTCTAGAACCAGGAAGGGATTTAAATTCATTCAAATGAAGAGTCATACTCTCTTCCAAGGGGAGATAATTAAAGATTATGAAAATTCAGTTTTTTATTTAAAAATATTCTCAAGAACCATTGGGCTAGAAAAGATGAAACTAATGTGAAAGCCTCCAGACATAGTGTAGATTTAAGTTTGTTCAAATCATGACCACTGGGCAGTAAGGTGGGGCCACTATGGGTGAGTTTTACATGGACATACCTAAAAAAAACCCAGATGTATTTGTGAAACACTGATCCCCTGCATGGCAGCTCATGGCAAAGGTTAAAGTTTCTCAAAAGCAAGCCAAAAAAGTGAAGAGTTCAAAAATATACCCAAAAGATAAAAAGATACCCAAAGAAGGGTCTTTTACAAGGAATACACCTGTAAGAAATAAAAATCCTAACATCAATCCTTTTAAAGTTATTGCCAAGGTTAAAGCTTATTCAAAAGTAGGTCAAAGTCAAAGTTAATGGTACCCTGGGGAAGGTCTTGTCGCAAGAAATGCATGTGAAATATGAAAGCCCTAGCACCAATTATTCAAGTTATAACCAAGGTAAAAGTTTTTCAAAAAAAGGTCAAACTCCAAGGACAAAAGGTCAAAACTGTTGGTACCCAAGGGAAGGTGGTTGAAGTTTTCAAAACAAGGTCAAACTCAAAGGTCAAGGTCAAAGGGTTAAAATCATAGTACCAAAGGGAAGTCTTTTCACAAGAAGTACACCTGTGAAATATGAATGCACTAGCACCAAGCGTTCAAAAGTTTTGGCCAAAGTAAAAGTTTTTCACATGTAGGTCAAACTCCAAGGTCAAGGAGATAGAATTGTTGGTATCCAACGGAAGGTCTTGTCACATGGAATACACTTGTGAAAGATGAAAGGCCTGACTCCAGACCTTCAAATGCTTTTGTTGGTATTCATGGTATTTTATGACATGATCAATGAAATATATGGAGATAACAAACAGTATTCAAGCTCAAAGTCCATTCAAACAATACAAATCAGGAGCATAGTAAACAAGGACCTCTAAAACATCAGAGGTGGGATCAGGTACCATGGAGGAGTGAGCATCCCCTGCCGACCAGTCACACCCGCCGTGTGCTCCTTGTCATGATCTGGAAATAATGGGAAAATCTGTCGACAATTCAGTGGGTAAATAATGGCTTAAAAAATATCAGTCAGCATTTGATTTAATGATAGATGATCAAATAAAGCATTTCAGTTGGGATTCTTGGTAGTTAGAGCAGTTGTTGCTGTGCCATCTCACAGTGTCACTTGTTTGAGGTTTGCACTATTTCTATACTATTTCTTAATTTTAGCCAAAAGTTCAGAATTAGATGGCTCATGAACGTGCAATGTAATAATGTAGATATCAAATCTAATGCAGTTCAGTCATTTATATCAAAACGTTGATTTAGAAAAAGTCCACATTTGTCTGTTTCTCGGTTATCTCAATTGTCACAAACACTTTATGAATGTAACATGTATTTGTTAGGTCACCTGAGTAAAATCAGGTGACCTATTGCTATCTGTTTTTGTCCATTGGCGTGGGTCGTGTGTTAACATTTGAACATTTTCAGCTTCGTCTCTGGAACCACTGAACCAATTTCAACCATATTTTGGCATATAGCATCTATGTGTGAAGGGGAGAAAAAAATTTGAAATTCATGACCCTTACCCCCCCTTGGGCCTGAGGGGTGGCACTAAAACCATTAAAATTAATGCAATCTTTAAAAATCTTTTTCTTTACTTCTGGACATCAAGCAAGTAAACTGTTGGCATGAATGTAATAAGCATTGAGCCCTCTACCTAAATTGTGAAATTCATAGCCCCAGGGTCAGGGATTCTGGTGCTTAAGGGCAGGGCTCTGTTGAATATATAGTGATAATGCATTATTTCTTTGAAAAGCTTCTTCTCTGTTCCTGGATACTATGCAAACAAAATAAATATATAGTTATGATGAGGAAATGTGCCTCTTCCAAAATTTTGAATTTCAAGGCCCCAGGGTCAGGGGTTCTGGTGTCAGGGCAGGGCTTTGATGAATATGTAGTGAAAAATGCATTCTTTCTTTAAAAATCTTCTCTGATCCAGGGCAAACAAACTGAATGCATAGTTATGATGAGTAAGGGTGCCTCTTCCTATATTGTGAATTTCATGGTTCCTGGGTCAGGGGTTCTGGTTTTAGGGCAGGGCTTTAATGATTACATAGTAAAAAAGCAATAATTCTTTGACAATCTTTTCCTTTTCTCCTGGGTATTAAGCAGATGAACTAAGAGTATAGTTGTGATATGTAAGGGTGCCTTTTCAAAATTGTGAAATTCATGGCCCCAGGGTCAGGGGTTCTGGTGCTTAAGGGCAGGGCTCTGTTGAATATATAGTGATAATGCATTATTTCTTTGAAAAGCTTCTTCTCTGCTCCTGGATACTATGCAAACAAAATAAATATATAGTTATGATGAGGAAATGTGCCTCTTCCAAAATTTTGAATTTCAAGGCCCGAGGGTCAGGGGTTCTGGTGTCAGGGCAGGGCTTTGATGAATATATAGTGAAAATGCATTCTTTCTTTAAAAATCTTCTCTGATCCAGGGCAAACAAACTGAATGCATAGTTATGATGAGTAAGGGTGCCTCTTCCTATATTGTGAATTTCATGGTTCCTGGGTCAGGGGTTCTGGTTTTAGGGCAGGGCTTTAATGATTACATAGTAAAAAAGCAATAATTCTTTGACAACCTGGATATTTAGCAGATGAACTAAGAGTATAGTTGTGACATGTAAGGGTGCCTTTTCAAAATTGTGAAATTCATGGCCCCAGGGTCAGGGGTTCTGGTGTTAGGGAGGGGCTCTGTTGAGTATATGGTGAAAATGCATTATTTCTTTAAAAATCTTCTTCTTCGATTATGGGTATTTAGCAAACAAACTGAATGCATATATATGATGAGTAAGGGTTCCTCTTCCTATATTGTGAATTTCATGGCCCCTGGGTCAGGGGTTCTGGTTTTAGGGCAGGGCTTTAATGGTTACATGGTAAAAATGCAATAATTCTTTAAAAATCTTCTCCTTTTCTCCTGGGTATTAAGCCAATGAACTAAGAGTATAGTTATGATATGTAAGGGTTTCTCTTCCAAAATTGTGAAAGGTTCACTTCTATATAAATAGGGAACTGACCTATTGGGCCGGGCTTGGTTTTTTTCTCTACTAAAAGCTTGTGGATTTCCGTTCCGATTTATGACATTAGGCTGAATACATGTAACAATTTGTTTTTCATAAATCTTTATTTCAGTGAGTAGAGGTAGGAGGAACACTTTCATCGATATTCTGAGTTTGTTATCTCCAAATGTAATAATTGATAATTTTCTTTACTTTTCATTGTCCATAATGGTAATGTCTACTGTCTCTGGAATTCTATTCTTTATGTCTAGGCTATTTATTTTACAACACATTTCCGCTGGATATAATAAAACCTGCCATTAATGTGTGCAAATTATAAAGGCCTAAATGAAATCCAAGGGAGTACAGTTACTGATATATGTAGACCTACTGTTTCAAAACTTAAGATCTTAGAACACTGACTGAAAAAAGTACATGTATGTTATTCTAAATATGCATGTATTAAGCTCAAATAATTCAAGCAATACATAACATATTACATGTAACCCAGACAAGCACTAGTAGCACAGAAAGAATAAAAGCAATGTGATTAAATTCTAAGGAATATACATGTATACAATTGAAATTCATCGCAGCTCAATGCTGCCGAGAATACCTGTATCGAGTAACACCGAGTGAGTTATTCTTGTCCTCGGAGAAAGTGTGCTTATACTGAGATTTGTTCCGCCTGACTGACAACTGTACATTGGATTGTTACGATTTGATCTCTTTCTAGTGTTTCTTATATCAAAAATGGGAATGCATAAAGGATAGATAATTGAAGGAAAATACACAAGTCTATAAAAAATTTAAAATAGTCTTTCAAAAGGCTAAAATTTAAAACTATAAAAGTGTGGCACCAGGTGGATTCGAACCCCCGACTTTAAAAAAGAAAATACCACCGATATAATAGTCAGCTCATATATCAACTGAGCTATTCTGACTATAAGATCGAAAGGTATAAATTTGAAGCAGATTGTCAAAATCACGTTTACTTATTTTTTGTAGTTTTTTTGTGGATTTCGACCCAAGGGCAGGGGTGCCCCTAAAAAAATCCTATCTTAAATTATTCCTTACATCCCAACCTATCAAAATATCACAATTTCATTTGGGGGCAGGCCTGCCCTGAAGGACTTCTAGGCCAAAATTCATACAAAAATCAACGCTTTAACGGACAAAATGGTGTTTCGGCCAACTTTGGAGGTTTATTGTAAAGTTGTAAATAATAAATTTTAGTTGTAAAATACAAATTTGAAAAATCTAGACATATAAAAAACAACAAATAAAGATTGATTTTTAAATATCACTTTTTCCGGGAAATTGTTCTCTCCTATAGGTCAATTCTTTTGTAATAGTGAATACATCCTTTATGGCCCCTGGGTCAGGGTTCTGGTTTTAGGACAGGGCTATAATTATTACATAGTGAAAATGCATTAATTCTTTGATAATCCTCTGCTCTCTTTCTTGGTATTAAGTACCGATAAGCTTACTATATGTTAAGTTATGATGAGCAAGTGTGCCTCTTTCGATATTGTGAATTTCATGACTTCTGGTTTAAAACGTGAACCCAATTTAATTGTGGCAAAGTTGTTCCATGATACTCAGGTGACCTACAAGGCCCGTGGGCCTCTTGTTACAAAAAACAATCCAAGTTTTGGATTCACAACACTATATACATCTTAAACCAGATGCTTAATCCAAACACCAACGTTCATATACTAGTACTGGTAGGTTTATCCCGAACAAGAAGGAAGTGTTGTGTCATCACTTATAGGAACTTTTACATCTAGATATCATTCCCTCTGTAACATCTGATGAGAATGTTTCTATCTGTATTCTTCTAGTAAGCATTGAAATGAATAAAATCTTCAAGTTAAGTCCCTGTATTATCTCTGCAGTGACTTTCATCATTTAAACTGACAATCACGACATTTCAGATTAACTTTACCTGACTGACTACAAGATTTGGCAGAATCCTTTACCTACTGGTATAACAAATTATGGATCATCCAGTTACCTGAGCTTTGGATTCTTTCAAATGAGTATAGCCGAGAATCATTTAGATGTACGTGTTTTGGCAAGTATAAATTAATTTTTGATTACCAGTGGGAATCAGTACTGTATCAAACTTTTTTCAGCTCTTGATGAAAAAAAATTTTTCTTGAACTTACCTTCTGCTTATCATTGTGTTATCTTGACAATATGATTATATGTTCTTACACTTTTGAATTCTACTTGAAGGACCTTACAGAGCTGTTTGAATTATTTCCACAGGCTGACCTTATACGCAATACTAGCAGAAAGCATAGTTGCGCCAAGAAATTGTATTTTCCTTGGACATTTGAACTACAAAGATGGCCTGTCTCCATCACAAGATAGGGTTGAAGCCATTCAAAGGTAATCTAGTACCATCTTCCTTGCTTCTCCACTTCTTGGGTATGGTAGAATGGTTCCTTAAGTACATGTAAATTCTAAAATTTTCCTCAATTGTAGACCCACTTTTCTTCCTGCTGAAACAAGATGTTCACTTCCTGTGGACCGTAAAGCAAAGAGAACCATTTAATCCACCTTCCAATACTTGCATTCTCTCGTTTTGATCCACAGTTTCGCATCGCTGGTAATACATGGAGTCTAACCATGGATTCATTTTATACCAGATTTATCCAGGGGAAGATGATTCAGCAACTCTCCATGTGCGTAATAATATACATGGTTTTGGATTGTGGGTCATACGTCAGAAGGACCTGCTATTTCATCGTTGAATGTGACAACCTAGCTATGAAATTCCCTGTATCAGAAAAACGTGTAAGTGCCATGTATGAACGCTGGTTACCCATACTACAGATATTTAATTTCAATAATGTTTACAAGCCAGCCTTCGTCTTTGATGGGCTAAAAATTGCAGAATTTGTATAATATTAAATGCAATTAAAGTTTTGTTTGACCAGAAAAATTTTTCAAAAGTTATATTAATTTGAAATTTTGACTTAAGTCTGTTTTCATGATCAGTTCATGGTTGTAAAGCAAGGATGATCTTTATTTCCCTACTTTAAAGAGGAATCTGGATATTTATATTTCCCATGTTGGAAACATCTGACACAACAAATGTTAAACATAAGTCACTATGAAATTGATCATCTATGACTTGACAAAAAACCTATTTCAGACAATGGCTTTAAAGCAGATACTTAAGGAATAACTGTCTAATTTTTTGGATTCATGATGTGATCAATCGAGTGGCTTGCGTGATAATTTGCATAAACGCCGAAGGCGTTTATGCATAAAATTATCACGCAAGCCAATCGATTGATCATCGTCATGAATCCAAAAAATCTGACAGTTATTCCTTATATTTACATGCTCCTGATTCTGCAAATTCCCGCGCTAATAGCCCCGCTTCTGTCTCTATTTGTCCCGCCCCGCACGTGATTTTTTTTTAACCGCAACTATCGATGAACCAGTAGATTTATGTAGAAATAAAGTATTTTTACAATTTGTAATTTTATCTCGGACAAAGACATTGGAAATGTAAATATTGATGAATCAATTATAATTTTCATAAATATTGCATGTATAACATAATTTTTGCAAAAAGTTTTTATTTGTTATTACAATCATATTCTATTCATTGTTTGTATAACAAGGAGAGGATTTATTAAGTTGAAAGAACTTGTATCCAGTCCTTTTGTATGTATTATACAATAAAATATGTTCAAATCATTAATTGAAACTTTAATACCAACACCATTTAAGAAATTTCTGTATTCACCGACGCAAAAGAAACCCTCAATGTGAATTTCATTTCTTAATGTTTCATACCAAAAGCAGCCCCTGTTGCTGACCATGAATGGTTGTAAACAAATGGCATGTTATAACAAACTCATTCATTGAAATGCTTTTATTCCTGAATACTCTCAAACTTCAATTGATCATCATGTTGACACTGATTATATGTGTGCCATTGACACTTGGAGTGAATTCTTGTGCTACCCTGAGATGTTCATTCTGACGCTGTGATTCAGATGAATAATTTTACTAGCGATACATGTATAAACCATGGAATTCAGGATCATGTGAACTCTAGCACCGTGCTTGATGAGAGAGTGACTGAAGTAGCTGCAGCGTTATGGTTTTATATTTTAGTCTTTGACCATAATGCTACAGATCCCGTAATGCAAATATTGTGCAATTTATGGCGCAAGATTTTCTGAGCACTTCGGGGATGTATTTTGCCACTTTCCATTGGTCAATCAACCACCTTTCATCCCCTAATTTTAGATATATTCTAAAACCAACCTGTATATTTTATCCACCTCGGCACCTCCTAACGCTTTATACTCGTCTCTACAGACCAATTTAATAAACTTGATTGTTGTGAATTTGTTGTCGGATGGCGTAACGGGATTTCAACATCCACACTAACATACTCTTCATTCATTCTTATATTACAAACATTATATTTGACTTCTAATCTTATATCATGGTAAGAACGTTGGGAGAAAAAACATTGTCAACCTGACAATATCAAATTAATGATGAGACGGGTAAAAATTATTTTTTAAAAATTGTTTTTATTAAAAATCAACAGTTCTGCCATTTTATGGCAATCAAATATCACAAACACGAACATTACTCATTTAACATAAAACTCATTTATACAATTCATTGTAAGCACATATTGGTGATTGCACAAATATTGGGGGTTATGCTGTAATCATTTCCGAGTCAAAAAAATCTCTCTTGAGTTACTATAGATGCCTTGAATTCACCTTATTCTTATAACACATTATTACTCTCTTGTATTCTAAAATACACTCAATCAATGTTAAGCTGTTTTTGGTTGCTAATAAGGTTTACGTTTATATGTAATACTCATAGTTCACATTTTGCTCTACTCGTTCACATTTTGCTCTTGGCTACATGATTAACCCACTGAGAGAAAGGAACCTCGTTTTCTGCCAGTTTCTTCAGGAGTCGACTAGGAACCCAGTGAATACTGTAGGCTAAAAAAATCAACAAGGAAAGTTTCATATACATGTAGTACTCAGTAAAATCAAAAATTTCAATGGCGTCAAATTTGTGTGAAGTTGAGGGAAAAAATATGGTCCATGGGGAATTGATTTCTTGGCTCAAGATTGTAGTTTACTAAATATCTTGTGGAAGACATGAATTTGTGGGTCTCTAAATCATACCCCCCCAAAAAAAAAAATGAAAATCAAACATCCATGAACAGTATATCACAGTTTGACTTTAAAATGACATTCCATCAGTTTAGTTTTAAATCCATCATAATGTAGATACACAGAGGCATAAAATGGATGAAAAACCTTACTTTTGTTACTTGCAGTGTATAATAATGCTAACGCTTATTCTATTTTTTTCCCTTTGATTTCAGTTTTCTTGTGAAGATAAAATCTCATTAATACCCTTATGTATATGATGAAATGTATACCGGGGTACAAACTTTTCCTAAGTCCAGCACTGAAGTAAAGTACTTTTTGATTTTTGATATGAACTTACGACATGTTTCATGATAGTGACATATTCTGTCATAAACCCTCTTCAGTCCAATTTGACTGGCGTAAAACATTGGTCCACCTCTGTACTTAGGAAAACTAAATCCATAAATCCTACAAATGTAATTCAACTGCTTGAGAAAGTTTTCAAATTCAAAGTAAAGCTTGCATGAATATAATTATTGACCTACAGACCTTAAACCACAATTTCAATCACAGAGCAAAAATCAAGATATCTATAATCTATGGTCAACAATGTATACAATGTGACAATCTATTTTGTAATTTTTTCATGAGTTCAAATTGTTCAAAATAATAACATTATATTTTTCCCGTTCTGCATTAATTAATACATGTGTTTGCATGGGTAAAAGGTGTAGAAATACTAAGTTGGTATTTGAGCATACTGTGGAATCATTTAAATTCGTGGGGGTCAATGTTCGTGGACAAGCAAAATTTTATTGGTTCGTGGGGATGTAATTTCGTGGGAAGCTCATTTATTTGATAGATTTAATTAATCAGTACATTGACAAAAAAATTGTTCATGGGGATGTAAATTCGTGGGTAAGGGTTACCCACGAAATCCACGAACATTGATCCCCCACGAACAATGGTGATTCCACAGTAGCAAACTCACCATGAAATATCAATTTCTTCTGGTGTATTACATATTCCCTCTTCCAGAATCCTAAACCCCTCATTGATACACGAATAGAATTGCCTTTCAAAAATTTCCTGCCAAAGAAAAAAGGATGACAAGCATTTATTTTAAAATTACTTTTAAAGGCAAATCATACAAATGATCAATTCATACTAATGTAGTTCTTGCAATAGGTATATAACAATATTTACATCCACTGAATATTTTCTCCTTTATTTCTAAAGTAAATCATTGCCGTTTATCAGTTCATGAACAACACGAGGCATATCACCTGTACAGATTTCCTGATCAGTGGCTGTTCCATCAATGAAACGTACTATGATGTACATATATTAATAATACAAAAAATAATCTTTTAAATCCTTCTTTAAATGATTATTTATACAGATATAAATATAAACAATAAAATGTCTTTCTTTGGTTGCTAGTACGGGAATTAACGTCGCAGCTATTGCAGAAAAAATTCACATAACACGCTTGCGCGGGTTATGTATTTTTTCTGCAACAGCTGCAACATTAATTCCCGTACTAACAACCAAAGAAAGCATTTTATTGTTTAAATTAAGTTCTATCGTTTATAAAACTGTGAATTATTTTGCTCTATAAAACAAAGATAACTAATTTTAAGACTCTTAATGTTATCACTATAAATATATTATTTACATGCATATTTTGTGTGCCCTAACTTCGAAAAGACATGCAATTTTGTCATATTTATATATTTACAATGTCAATATAAATTATAAATCATTTATATACACATGCATATTTTGAGTGCCTGAACTTCAAGGAGACATATTTATTATATTTACTTATGTGATAGGGTGATTTATTTCATATATTAATTATATATTTCAGGATTAAATTAATTCAGTTAAATTGTCATATTTATTTCTTTACAGCATTTCATTTATTGAATAAATCCACATGGAATTATTTACATCAATCTGTGTTTATTGAGTTATTTATAGATGTATGACATCACAGTGGTCATTTAAACCCCTGTCCCTTTTCTATATATATCTTGTGTAGTGTCCAGGCCAACTTGGATTTCATTGGTTGGTTAGTTTCCCTCTCTTTTGGTTTTTACTTAGTTAATTACTTTTGTTGGAGATCTTGGTCTGAGTAGACATATTGGCTTTTGATATGATGACTTATTTATGACAATGACCAAGACAGGACAGAATGTAAGTTTACTTTTACTAATTTCATATTCTATATATAATTGTTTATCTGGTAAATTCCCAAATAATAATATTCTAATATAAAGTATGAAAGTTCAGTTTGTGTGATTATTTTATGACTTTGTAAATATTCAGAGTAATAAGTATATTTTAGATCTGTGAGAATAAGTGTGTAATATAGTAAAGTTATATTTATATTATTCATACACAGATCACTGAATAGAGTACAGCTGTCTTCAGCTTTGTATTTATTGGAGTTTTGGCTCTATATCACATATAGGTATGATGTATATATATTTTGAATATTGTCTATAAAATTATTTTATTCTGGAAGAGTTCAGTATAAATTGATCTCATTGTTTTATCTATATATTCCAGAGTGTTTATACTTTGTACATATTATTGATTAAGAAAGATAACTCTTAATGTTTTATCTATGAGCACAATTAAAGGGAAATAACTCTTCATTTGACCGTGCTATGTGGCAAGTGATCTACATGTATGCTTTGCTATAAAATATTTATGATTGTTTATATATATTTCAGAGCTGTGATAAAACTGATACTACTGATAATACTGATTATACTGAGAGTGAATATATTTATCAACAACGACAGCATGGCGTTTGTCATTATTTTCATATAAACGAACCCCATTTCACTTACAGTGTCACTATGAATTATAAATCATTTACATACACAATCATGTATATTTTGTAAGCCCTAATTTTCAAAGAGACAGTTTCATTGTTTTTATTTACATTTAAAGCTACATAATTTTGACGAAAGCCTAAGTAATAATTAAGAAATGAGAGTAGTCAGTTACTCAATTTTTGACAAGAAGTTTGTTTTTATCATCTGATAATCTCCCAAACATACTAAATTTAGCTGTTAATAAACTAGCAAAAAAATCTGATTTTCAGAATATACAGTCAAACCTTGTTATCTGAAAATTGATGGAACCTAAATTAAACTTCAAGGACTGGAGATTACCAGGTTCATTACCAGTGCCAAATCACTTCATCAAATCCCATGTACTGTAAACCAACTTTTATTTGCGTGCAAGAAATATCCGCGAATTTCATGACCTACTTTAGCTTGCGAACATTAATCACCATGAACCACTTATTTTGATTCGTATTTGTAGAGAATGTTTTCTCTGTCACGATAATTACCTGCGGGGTAATCTTTCTCTTTACGATGCCTCTTCTTTGTCTGTAGTTGTTTATGATTTCTTCTGTCTCTGAATCCACTGTTGGAATTTTCCCACCTACTTTTTCGTACAAATACCAACCTTTACCTAAAAAAATGTCATAGGACCTTGTACACTCTTGTATTTTAAGTGTGTTGCTTGGTGGGCTAATGAGTTATGGTAAGCTTGAATCCTAAGGCTGTCTTTTCAATGCAGATGACTTAAATATATATATCCAAGTATTTATTTTCAAAATATGACTACTGATTGGACATGATATCTCTTTGTAGAGAATATATATATATATGCATCAGTTCTTTAGAATCGGAAGAACTAGAGATTAACACCCCAGCTGAGCTAGCTCTCTTTTGGAAGGATACTTTAAAAGCACAAGATAGAATCTTGTAAATTTAATTGTTCACCATAATGCAATTTTTGGTTAACTTAAATGTACAAACTTAATCACCAATCCCACCCCCCATTTCTTTTTTTTTTTTGGGGGGGGGGGGGGGGGGCTACAAGAATCATTGATATTAATCTACTGAATATACAATGATACAGGAATCCTAATTTTTGTCAAATTTACCAATAATCTTCTTATTCACACTGTACTAACCAGTTTTCCGTCCATATCTCCCTTTCTCAAAGAAGTCATCATTTAATCCACAGTATCTGTTGCCACCCAGGAATCTTGTCTCCTTGGTGATTGTGGTACCCAGTGCCTTAGCAACCTCTCTATTGATTCTCCAGCCGATGTCTATCCCTAGAGATAACAAGGAATGATATCAAAAAGGAGAAAAACTAGGGAGAGGGCTAAAATAGGCTATGCCTAAAAAAAAAAAAACAAAAAAAACTGCTTTCTTTTAAATGGATTGATTAAAAAGATACACATATGGTTTAAGTGGAATTTTTAGCAAGACGAAGACCATGTTTAGCCATATTGGCCCTGTGATTTCTTAATTTTTAAAGTAGAATGAATAGAAATAAAATTATTATTATGGGTTAGTCCACTGTTGATACCATCCCAACATACCAAAATTTCCCCGCCAAAACGTCAGCTTCTTGAATTGGATAAGAGACAAAACCTATATCGGACGGATTTTTTGCAGAAAATCTCTACTTTTTTTTTACTTTTGTCATGTTTTTCATATAAAGCACAACCTCTGATCTAAAATGTAACTGCAGTCCATTAAATCTTATCAATGTAGAGACAAAATTCTAAATAGATTTTTTAGATCAGAGGGTGCGCTGTTGATGAAAATCTACTTTACACTAAAGCGAGGAGCAATCCGGAATTATTTATTTTTGTGACGATTTCATTTATTTCAGGAGTTGTTTTGCTTTAATAAATAAAAACAAAATAGCTAAGCGTACGGAAGTTACTTTTAAACAACTTAACTAAATTTTATAACACTTTGTTCTTTTATTATAAATTTTAATTAGATCGGGTGCGAATGCATACTTGTAATATTAAGCTCATTTAAATACGTAAACAAACAAATCAGAAGTTTGACGGTATTTAATTTACACCAAGTCCTCAGAAAATTATGTCTTCAAGAAAGAACAGTTAAAGAATTTTTAGGAGGTAAGTAATTATTTTCTTTTTTATTTTGTTTCAATTAATAGATCTAGACGTTTTTTTCCCTGCAGGCAGACTGTATCGTCTGCAGACTGACGATTCATAGCAGACAATCAGAAAAAAATATTACGCTTTCAAATATATTCCATACTTTTTACATGTATGTGCAAAATTTTTTTTTTTATTATTTTGTGGTTGTGATCTAATTTAAGTTAAAATGAACTACGGGTTTAGCAATATTTTGGTCTTCGACAGTTAATCAATCGCATGCAGACGGCAGATCTATAAACGTCTCCCTATCAGATACCTGTAAACATAACAAACATGTATATGCAAACTTTCTTGGTATGTAAGGGAAATAAATATTCAAATAGAATAAAACAGAAACAATTACAATAACTTTTTTAGAATTATTTATTATTGAAGACGGCAATTCATCAGATTGTAAGAATAAACTATTCTACTATGAAACATATATCCCTGCCACACTTGCTAGCGTCCGTGGCAACATAGTAGAGCGTTTGATTTTCATGAAAGGGATCCGGGTTCAATCCCCCCGGATCTGCTTTTTTTTTTTTTTTTTAAAATAAATAAAAGAATGTTTTTTTTCAATATAATCTTTTAAATAATTTTTTTTATAACATATATATACATGAAGTATTATATTTTAAATGCATTTTTCAAAGTATATATTTCTCCTAATCAAAATGCTATACTTTATTAAAACATGTATCAATGACACATACAGTAACAAATAGTAACATGCTATTCTGTATTCACTACATTTCTCTGAACTAATATTGCTAAAATGATTTATATTCAGTTTAAAGAAAAAAAAAATTTTTTCCCTTTATTTTTAAATACATGTAGTTTCATTTAATTGATAAATGATTTTTTTTTCAGAACATAAAAGAATGAATCAAGAAAAGAAAACAACAGAAATTAAAAAGTCTTTCCCATGCATCCTTTGTAAGAAGAGAACAAAACCAAAAGACAGAAAAAAATGTGAATCTTCAGCTATCCGTCGTTTCCTCTGTAAGAACTTTCTTGTTGATGCCAACAGTAATGACATTCTGTGTACCAAGTGTAGACATCTATACCATTGCAACCAAAAAAAATGTCAAAAGCAATCTGGGCCACTTCCTGTGTCACAGCCTCCACAAACACTTTCAAATCCATCATCATCAGGAATATCCAGTCCACCTTCCATATCATTACCTATCCAAAGAACACCTTCTTCTCATGCTTACTGTTTCATTTGCAAGCGCCCTGGACCCAAGCTTGTTGTTGTTTCCTCTTCTGCTAGATTTGCAGCCTTCCTGCAGAAGGAAGTCATTATTCCATCTGGAAGCAGATGCTGTCCATCTCATGTTGAAGATGGGGAATTCACACCTGGTACTCTTGACAATTTGCACACTTTGGAATCAACACTTGTCAACAGAACAACAATTCTTGAACTCATCAAGAAAATTAGAAATTATGCCATTCAAAATTCAACAAGCAGATTTTCTTTTGAACCATCAAGCATGAATACTGCAGATTACACAACTCTGACCGGAATATCCAAAGAAAATTTTGAAGACCTCCATTCCTTTATTTCAAATGACATTCGAAATACACAGAACCGAGGCACTAGGATGTCACTAGGAATATTTCTTCTGAAACTAAGGTCAGGCATGTCGAACCAACTTCTTGCTACCATCTTTAGAATTTCAAAGTCATCCCTCTGCAGAGCAGTAAGATCAGTTCGGGCAGCGCTCATGAAATCATTTGTACCTCATTTTATTGGTCTACAACATATAAGCAGAGAAGATTTTATTGAGAAACATACAAGACCACTGGCACAGGGACTTTTTGGCGATTTTACAGAGAAAAAAGCTATTGCTGTTTTTGATGGAACTTATATTTATATCCAGAAGAGTAACAACTTCAACTTTCAGAGAAAATCTTACAGTTTACATAAAGGCAGGCCCCTTGTTAAACCAATGGTTGTCACGTCTACAGATGGCTATTTCCCTACAGTTCTCGGACCATACCTCGCTAGAAATAATGATGCCACCATCCTTAATCATATGCTTCGTACAAATGTGGAAGATATGAAGGGCTGGTTCCATGACGATGATGTTTTTATAGTAGACAGAGGTTTTAGAGATTCACTGGATGTTCTGGATGAGTTGGGAATTAGAGCCGAGATGCCTCGCCTCCTAAGTAAAGGGCAGAAGCAGATGACTACCTCAGATGCCAATGCTTCTCGTCGTGTTACCAAGGTTTGTTGTTTCTGTCTTTGGTGTACCATATCTAAAACAGGAAACAAAGTAATCATTGATAGTAAATCTATAAGCTTTAAATGATGAAAACATTATTTGTACATGTATATTTAAAACAAAGGGCCCATGGCCCACAGCACCCACCTGAACACATTGCCTATGAAAAAGAAAAAAATCAATTCAGTATTGAAAAGTTTATAGGTGGGGGGTGGGGGGGGGAGGTTCGCAAACTAGAATTTTACACTACCTGAGGATGCTTCCATATCAATATAACTTATGGCTTTCTCGCTCTTGAACAGAAGATTTTTAAAGATATTTTCCTATATATATATTCCAATGTAAAACATTCATCCCCCATAGTGGCCCACCCTACCTCAGGGGGTCATCATTTGAACAAACTTGAATCTACACTATGTAAAGAAGGTTTCCTATAAGTTCTAATTTTTTTGGCCCAGTGGTTCTTAAGAAGATTTGTAAAAGATGCCACCAAATTTTCACCATTTCTGAATTACATGTATCTCCCCTTGAAAGAGGGCATGGCCCTTCATTTGAACAAACTTGAATCCCCTTCTAAGGATGCTTTGTGGCAAGTTTGCTTGAAATTGGCCTAGTGGTTCTTGAGAATAAGATGAGAATGTGAAAAGTTTACAACAACGACAACAACAACAATGACAATGACAGACAACAGAGAAATTTGATCAGAAAAGCTTACTTCAGCTTTTGGCTCAAGTGAGCTAAAACGTGTTTAAAAGACTATAAGAGAACTTTTAACTTTGATTTTTTTTTCATAGCATTACTGTTATCTTAGTTTAGTTTAAAATATATTTTATATCTTCTTTTCAATATTGCATGTTCTTCACTTTACAGATTCGCTGGGTGGTTGAGGCAGCTAACGCTCGCATAAAGAGATGGAAATACCTTGCTCATGTTCTTCCCACAAACCAAGTGCCATTCATCAGTGATTATGTAAGAATCGTATGCGCCATCTCCAATAGATACCTCAAACCTCTGTCTACTGGAAGTGAAGATGAAGATCTGGTGCTAGCTTCAAAAATGAGGTACTTGTCTACAAAAGTTAACTCTTTAAAGTCATTTGTCGAAGAAAATTCTCTGGATAAAAGGTCTGTGAACTGGGAAATTGCATCTGATTCTTTTGAATTCCCTAATGTCAGCGAAGAAGAAATCCGAAACTTGACCTGTGGAGTGTATCAACTTAAATTATCTCCAAGTTATATTCAAGAGTATCTGGAGGGGGATGTGGATATCCTGATTCATAGTGAGTCCCATGGGCTGATTAGGGTGAAGCTTCAGAGTCGGCATGTTTCCTCCAAGCAGTATCTTCTTTGGATCCAGTTTACCGAGTCTGAGATAACTGCCTGGTACTGTAGATGTAGAGCTGGTGCCCGTGTAGTTGGAGTCTGTTCTCATGTGGCTTCAGTGATCTGGTACCTTGCTATAAGGAGGCATGACAAGGAAGCCATCTCTGCTGTCCAAGACTGGTCCGAGTTTGTCATCGATGCCACTCTCATTGACGAATCAGATGACAGTGACGACAGTGACATAGAGGAGTAAGAATGTTGATTCTGTCATTTGTCTTATTGTGCACTTTAAGATTATCCTGAAAATATGAATAATCATTATCAAAAGATATACTCATATACATGTATATTGATTTCAAAATTATATAACTGTTCTATATATGTTATTCCAAACAATTACAACTGTCAATATTGAAATAAGTTATATGTTAAAATCAGTAATAAACAAACATTATTGTTTTCAATACAATACATTTAAACTATGTTAAAATAATTTTCTGATTTTAAACAGTGAAAATTCAAGTAACTTAACAAGAATCTTAAATCTTTTTTATTTGAACAAAATGAATAAAAATATAATTATATATATGCAGATTTGTTGTATTCAAGTATATATTCCACTGGACATTTAAGAGTTTCCTCTTGTATATCATTTAATATTGACTATGCATCTGCCTTAATTTCTGAATATAGTGAGTCCAGCTGATAACACATAATTCAGAATTCAGTTTTAGGGTTTACCTTATTGAACAGTGTAAAAGTTATTTGTTGTTGTCAGTTTGAATCTTATTTGACACTGTTAAATCATAATGTTTTACATTCTGTGTTTACTTTTCTTTTTTCTTACTTCATGTTTAAGAGTTTAGAATATGATGCCATGTGTTATGTTTCAATATGAATTCTAAGCCTCCTCTGACATTTTTATTCTTGTCAGATGAACAGTTTATAACAGGGAATTATTTAATCTTAGACTAATTATAAATCCTGGATTTTCATAAAATTTTAAAATCAGGTGTAGTGCCTGAAGACTAACTTAGTTTTGCTTGAAATATCAGTTTTCACTGTAGTAGATACTATCTAAATGGGTAAGTGTGTATATAAGAAGCTAATATAATTGAATTATTGTTTATTTTTATTCATTCATGTTTTTATTGTGTTCCAATTTCATATTTTTATTGTTTATTTTCAGTCATAATTATCATTTCTAGGGTAAATGTCTTTTATGCAGTGTATCTGGTGTTCTACTGTTGTATCTGTAGAAAATGACGCATGCGCAGATGGGGGTTAGTCGATGCCTGGCATCAAAAAACGACTAACCCCCATCTGCGCATGCGTCATTATTTTCTCGCTAAATTCTGCAGTTTTCTGCAGTAAAACGGCGATATTAAAATAATCCATCGAATTTCCGTCATTATATTATGCTACGACTCCACTGTTATCGCAAAACGTTCCTTCCGAGTTGTAGATATCCGTTAAACATTGCCAACAACGCACTGCTTCATAGTCCCCATGAATGGAGACCCGACTGAAGAAATGACTCGCAGCAAACGAAAATACATACCGATGCGTATTCAGCACGACAACTGCAAACACTTACATATGTTTTCACAATCGTAACAACTTTTAAATCCAACGAAACGCCCAGAAAAACGCAGCGATGTAAACACTACCAAATTTACAGCAGCTTCCTTATGCAGACAACCACTACTCGACGTCACAGTTGTAAAATACGACGTCACAGGTACACTGTTTTCCCGAACTTTTCTAATGCAAAATGGCGATTAAGCATTGTACGTAATATAAGGCATACTGTCTTTGTTGTTCAGCACACGTACTTTTAATTGTTTGTAAAAAGTTCTCCTTTAACCAGGTAATTGAATATCACAAGAGGAAAGGAAACTGGAATGTCTTAAGTACAGAAATCGGTCTTTGAAATTTGAAGATCCATGATCCGCCCACTTGTTTCACCTCCAGCTAAGAGGTGCATATTTAGTGTGCAAATCGAGAGTTTTCAAGCCATTGTGACGTCACCCTCAATGATTTGTAACAGATCAGTGAAATCTCACACATGAATCAATAAAAAAAATAATAATAAAGAGTTAAACTGTGGAAAACATTAGTTTGAAGTCTTGTGTACTGTAAACAAATTATTACTGATTAATCAGGTGTAAGGCACAACAATTCTCCAAGGCAGCATTGATATAGTAGTACTTGATGTACATGTAAATATAGATAATCCGTTTATTTGAGATACGCAACCTGCCCCCGAAATAAATTTGTATTGAACCCTTTTATTGATTGATTTGTGTATGAGCAAGAACTAACTAGAAGTGGGTTGACTGGAACGGGAGGGGGGGGGGGTCGACTTCTTATCCTTTATACAGGTCCCTTAGCAAATAGCAAATGGATTTCTCTTAAAAATATCTATAAATCCCCAGCGATTTTATATGATACTGGATAATGACCCCCCTTCTTATATTAAATATTTTTAAAAAAAATTCTAGATACCTACCCCCACCAGGAAAAATGCTCCCGTATACTCGGTGAAATTCGTAATTTTCTCTATTAAAATATCGAAAGTCACACATGCTTTTGTTCACACTTTTTTTATAGAGTCTTATGCAAGCAAAATTAAGATGTAAGAATTTTTAGTGTGTTTCTGTGTGTATTTGTGTGAAAGGGGGGGGGGGTGTAGGGGTTGTTGCGGACATCCTCCCCAACATCCCCTTGAAATCCTCCATTGAGCACAGGTGCAAGAGACATTTCTATAAATATTTACCGTTGGTTCATCCGAGATATATGGATATGAAATCGCTTTTAATAATTTTTAACTAGTCTTTATAGATTATAAGTTCGACTAAAATATTAGCGATATTGTCACTCGCCGAAAAATCGAAGTATATGGAATGACTAAGATATATGTTACTTTCGACGTATTTTAAGTACATGTATGATATCCCCCCAAATAAACTACATGTATTAGTCGCTCCATTCTTTCCCTATAATTTCTAGTAGATCTGTCATTAACGGGGGAAAATTCTTCAAATATACAAATGTAATACATGTAGCACATTTCCATCAAAACTCTTGTGCTACACATATCTATTTAATTATGAATAGCAATATAGAGATATAACATGCTCATCAGTTTTACTAGAACTGTTATACCTGCCAGGCCACCTGTGAAGGAAATGTCACTCAGAATTGCCGAGGAAAAGAAGGGCGGTTGGGGGGGGGGGGGTGTTACCAAACACTGCTCAAGGAAGTGCTGTGCTTTTAGTTCCGTTAAATAACAATTGCTCAGTTTCTATCGTCTAAGAGAGCAGTTCTTCTACATTTAAAACATTCTGAAGTTTAAAACTTTGTTTACGATTTTTGTTTCAGAGAAGCTTATATATATTTATCAAGTGAAAACTCGATCATTAAAAGATACTTTCATAAATCGATTAGTCTGTCAAATGGTCTAGGTGCTGGCCGTGAGTGTTTTACTTTGTTCTTCGCAAGTTAGATTCCTTCAAGAACCATTTTAATATTTATCAAAAACACCATGAGAATATTTTGTCGACCTTTACTGAATAATCCATTCAACAAAAAATAAAAAAAAAGGGGTGGGGTGGGGTACAGTACTTGTATTTCCAGAAGTTGCATGTTAAGTTATTTATTATTATTCTAATAACTGTCATCCTCATCGGAAAGTCTAAAACGAATTAAACAAAAGTAATAGCATAACATGTCTTTGCCTCCTGAATTTTGTAAAGACAAATAATTAAGAGATTACATACACATTTCGTCCTCCTTTGACTCGCGCATCAAGCCTTGGATTTCGATTAAATGAAATATAGTGATACTGTTTTTTGTATATTTTTATCTGATACCATTTTAATTTACTGAGTATGTAAAATTAGAGGTGAAAATCATGTTACAAAAATCTAAGGTAACGTATAACATGTATGTATGCATCTCAATACCTGTACCTGTAATTCCATCTGTATTTAAAACAATAGAAGTGTCTGATGAGACTGAAGCTTTACTGTTTTGTACTTAAGGGCATTAGCAAGGTTCCTGGATATTGTATAGAAGTCTCTTCAGCAGGTTTAATGGTAATAAATTGCCCCCCCCCCCCCCCGAAATAAGTTTTGCAAGTTTTGGTATTTTTCTTTTATTTATTTTCTTTTTTCGGGGAAGGGGGTATGCTTGTCAAAGTTTTTCAGACGTCATCAATTAACCCCCAATTCTTGAAAAACGATGCTTCGTGCCTGGCTTATTCCTCATGATGCCAGCAAATCATTTATGAATTCTTTTGAATGATTTTTTTTTCTTTGTGCAATCCAGATAAAAAGTTTTGAAGTCATGGATTTTGTGGCCACAAACATGAATTAATGCTTTACCCTTTGTCTGTAAGAATTAGCATATAGTTACTTGGACGATCATCCCCCCGTCTCTATCTGCAAAAACTTCAATTGAAATTTGAACTGCTTAATTAAGCTCTTTATTTTTCAAATATTGATGTCGTTTTAAGTGTTGTTACCTTACCTCTCCTGGATTAGCCCAATGTTTGTGTTTATATCGAAGTACTGAATATATGCATTTATTTATTTAAAATAATTTGAAGTGTACTTTGCGTTTTCACCATCGGAAACATTTGAGGAAAATACAGCGAAAATACAACACCATCCAAGTGCAAGTG